CAAACCCAGCAGAGGGTTCAATAACTCGAGGAAGAAGAGGAAGACGAAGAAGAAAGAAGAGGAAGAAAAAAAAAGAGGAAAAGAGAAAGGAAAAAATGAACGAATTATTTTATTTTATTTTTAAAAAATATAAATAAGAATAAGGTGAGTTGGCATAAAAAAAATTCCACATCTAACATGTTTTCAATTTGTTTTTGCCACATCATCAAAAAATTTATAAAAAATGCCACGTAAGCGAGTTAACGATCGAAATTAACGGAAAGACTAACGGAGTGCATTTCGTATAGTTGAGGGATCAAAAAAGTGCAAAAAATTGTTAAGGGACCAAAAATGTGCAACTCACTAAAGTTGAGGACCAAATTTAGCATTTAACCTTTATTCTAAATTTTTGGTTCCCTTTACAATTATTCTTATTCTCCTATCTTGACTTTTGCAGTTTTGCCTCTGGAAAAAATTAGGGAATCAGGACACGTCTTTGATGATATGACAAAGACTGACTTTTGGAATATGATAAAATTGAGACAATCATTCCATGGAATATGGATTGCTGAGGGGAAAGGTTACCTCCCCATGTGAAAATGTTATAATTACATAAATTTTTATATATTGTCTTTTAAAATAGTGATTTTATTTTGTTTAGTTATTAAAAATAATTAATAAATAATAATTTAGCAACCATAATCTACGTGAAACGTGATATGACATCTAAGTCTTGAGTTCTACACCCAGCACTACTTCCCCCATCTAGGGGTGAGCAAAAACCGATTTCGGTTAAAATCAAAACCGATTTTAAATTAACCAAAAAAATTCGGTTTTAATTTTACAAACCGAAACCGAACCAAAATTGTTATAAGCTAATCAATTCGGTTATCAAATTTTATCAATGAATTCGGTTCGGTTTTGATTTTTATTAAATAAATATTAATTAATTATTTTTAAAAAATATCAAAATTTTTTCCTGGCCATCCATAACCACACCCGTAAGATCTAAGAAAGAAAAAAGGTTATATAGTACTGGAAAAATCAAAATATATTCCTTTCAATCCTCAAACAATTAAGTATTCCTTCCAAATTTGCAGCCTTTTAATTTGGACTATTGAAAATTTTCTTTGGGCAAAGTATAAGCAGCTTTTAAGAAAAATAATAATATCAGGCCTGTATCATGTATCAGTAAACTCCATCATATCATGGAGGATCTGGAGTTCAAATTATTCTTCCATCAACAAAATAAGTAAATAAAGGTAAAATAAAAAGACTTTCCATTGAGTAAACCCATAAACCAAAAGAAAGCGAAAATGAAAAAGGGCATCCAATTATCATCATCATCTCTTTATAAAATTAATGAGATTGTGAAACTATATTAGTTGAGAAGTTCAAAAATCCATGCAGGAACAAAATGGTACTCTGAAATAACTCTTTTTGACAAAAATTCGGGTCTCAAACAAGAACAAATGTATAATGCAGGTGGAGTAGCTTATTTCTTCCCCAATTTGCAAAAAAAAGAACTCTTGAGGTCACCCCATTACCTCATTTTGACAATTTAGCCATTAATTTGTCAAGGCAAAGAACTAGATCACCTGATAAAGCAATTATTGTTGAAGCAACTTGCCCAACAGACATGGTATGAGAGAAACTGAAGTGAAGCTAGTTGACAACGTCAAGGACCAGCTTGCGGGACTTGAGTACAGACCACCTCAAGCGCCGATAATATGCAGCTTGAAGTAATGCCAGTGATAGTACAAATATCCACTTAAAACCCATCTACATTAGAAACCAGGACCAGATAAATATTAGAAACAAAATTTTAATACAAAATGATGTCATTAGGTTGAAACATGTTCAAAACAAAATATACGCACCAGCTTCCGCTCTTCCATTTCTGGTTCAGCTGCCCATGACAAAAATGTCACTACATCCTTCCCCATCTGCATCAAAACAAATGGATGATTGAGCCTTAGAAATCTTTCTCTTAGAGATTTGTAGCTAGACATGTTTTTTGATGTCTAAGCATTTAAAAGAAACAAAACCAACCTGAGCTTCTGTTGCAGGGGTACCATCTTCATACTCCACAGCACCATCTATAAGCATTTTGGGCATGGCAATAGCTCCTCCAGGGAAGTAAGGGTTATAGTGTAACCCTTCTCGGATCTACAATGAAATTTGAGATTTCAGGTTAGGGTGTGAAAGAAAAAAATATATTGCTCTCAATTAAAAAAATATGCAGTGGAGACCTGCTAGTAGCCTAATACCAAGCTTCTATTAACACACTTCATGCTATTTCTGCTTAGAATACAGATAAACATGAAATAGGTGATGTTGGCACACCATAAAGGATCAGCTGCTGATGCTACAATATTTGGCCTAAGATTCACTGCATATGCCTAAAGGCTAAGGCCGCTAAATGAAGACAACTCCTTTCAGTGGCATTTTATAGTGACAAGTGACAAAGATTATTGGTACCAAAACTTCTTCAATCCTTTGGCCCATTTCCCTTTATCCTCATAATAATCAACCAAAAAGAAAGTCCAAGCATGCTAACAATTTGTATTTTGAAAAACTACATGCTACATAAAAGAGAAATACTAAACAAGAGGCCAAGAAACAGAATTTACCGCAACACCAGCTGGAGGATCGTGGTAACCAGTTAGAAGGGCAAAGACATAATTCTGCCCATTATGACGAGCCTGTGATAATTAAAAAAAAAAGAAGCAAAGAAAAGAATAGAAAATAGATTAAGATGTATCTTGGAGAGAGAAATATCCACAAAGTTCTACACTCAAAGTAAGGAATTACTTTAGTGATAAGACTTAGATCTGGAGGATAGGCTCCTCCATTGGCAAACCTAGCAGCTGCTTCATTTGCATATGGGGAAGGAAAACGGTCACTGAGTTTACCAGGACGGGTGAACATCTCACCCTCATCATTAGGCCCATCAGCAACCTCAATCTCGGCAGCCATGGCCTTTGTCTCCTCTTCCGTATATGCAACACCAACCAAATCACGGTATGATATTAGAGACATAGAGTGGCAGGATGCGCATACTTGTTGGTAAACCTGGTGACCACGACGAATCCTGAATCATGCAAAAATTAATCAGTCACCAAATTTGCAACATCACTGCACCACACAACCAAAAAATCTTGAGCCAACATTTCAAAATAATTTCAGAGCTCTAGTAAAATGTTTGAATGTATTATCAGTGCAGAGTTGCATCCAAATTATAACAGATGCACCCCATGGTAACTGACAGGTATTTCTATCTCTATCGTAGGGTTAAGACTGCCAAATTGTATATCCTCATCCATCCAACAAACAATTGGCCTAATATTTAACTAAGATATAGTGGAACCGTTAAAGACTCTGTTCACTTTGTAAAGCAATGCTCAAAAAGAGTCACCAAACTCACGAAGCATGGTCATATGAACTAAGGATGCCTGAGTGAGGCCAAGGATAGTTTGCAGCTGCTAGTCCATGTTCAGCTTCATCAGCAGAAGCAACTGTTGCAAAACCTAGCAACCCAGAAATACCAGCTCCAAGGAGTGCAAAAGCTCTCAGGGACTTCATGCCAGCAGGTCCAGCATCTTCATGAAATTTCTTTGCATTAAGTAAAGATAAAACTGGAGTGGCCTGCACATATATTGCAAATATTGTAAACCAAATATACGGATAATATCATAGCATGTCATTTCCGTGTAGTTGTATAAACCAGCGTTGCACTAAATAGAATGCCAATAGAGAAAGTCAGAGAATACTCAGAGGACTTAAAAGGCTGGAAACATTCCTGTAGAAAGACTTCATTTGTTATTCCAGTGAGTATATACAATACTTAGTGGAGCATAAAATCAAAAACATTCACATCTTGGCTAACAAACAGTCAGAGTTATCATGCTACTTAACAGGATAAAAGTTTAAGACATCAGTTACAATGGAGCCAATGCTTTTACAGAATTTTACATTTCATCATCATACAAACATAATGCAACAAAAGACACCTCCAAATAATTTGGAGCTCAAATCCAAAATTGTTTGGAAAAAGGAAAAAACAAATGAAAGAATGAAAACTTTGTTAAAAGGAAGAAGTTTCTGGGCTGTAAAAATTCCCTCAAATGCATCATGGGGTTGGAGGAAACTGCTCAAGCTCTGGGCTAGGGGGCTCATCCAGCATATCCCAGGAGATGGCACTGAGACTCATTTGTGGCATGATAATTGGCATCCTTCTGGTCCACTGGTAGAAACTTATGGTACAAAGATTATTCAAGATGCAGGCATTCCATCCCATGCCAAGCTTGCTGTGGTGGTTAATGGAAATTATTGGAAATGGCCACCTGCATGCTCCCCTCAGCTCCTAGATATTCAAATAGCGCTATGTGGTAGATTATATCCTAAAGAGGGTGAAAAGGATAGTATGGTGTGGATTCCCTCAGCCTCTAGTTCTTTCAAAGCAGGAAAAACATGGCATTGGATAGGAAATAAGCAAGCTAGAGTACCATGGCACAAATTAGTTTGGTTCCCTCAATCAATCCCTAAACATAGCTTCATTTGCTGGTTAGCTGTGCTGGATAGATTAACAACAAGAGCCAGGCAAAAGAAATGGTCTCCAACTTTGACTGACACTTGTGTACTGTGCAACAATGACTCAGAGACTACTGAACATCTCTTCTTCAAGTGCTATTACGCAAGAAGGGTCTGGCAAGTTTTGAGCAATTTGGCAGGTATTCCATTTATGGATTCTTGGCAAAGGCTTTTAATGTGGATGGGAAAGCGGATACGAAGGAAATCCTTGTATTGGACACTTATCAAGTTAATATGGAGTGCTGCAATCTACCATGTTTGGATGGAAAGGAACAATGGAATCCATCAGCAAGTCTTTAGAACAGAAGAGGCAGTATGTGAAGAAGTGCAATTTGATGTGAAACAAAGGATTTTAGGTTTTGCCAAGTTGAAATCCTCATCTCTACCTGTCTCCATAGCAATTAATTGGGGGATTGAAGCTGTTGTGCAAGGATAGTATAGATTAAATCGTTTCTGCATTTTATTTTGTAGCAGCAACAAATTGCTGCTTGCTTGTGTATAGACAGTTACTGGATAAATAAATTCACCTTTTATCCAAAAAACTATGAGAAATTCATGGTAAGAATCTCTCCAGTAAAAGGAATATCAAAATAAAAAACATCACACGGACAAAATCCAGTTTTCTAAGGCAATTCCAATGTAACTCACATAGACAACTGAGGAGTCTATACAAGCTGCTTAATTGAATATTATAACATTTAAAACCAACACAAAGAGAATAAAGAATTCTTACAGCAGCATGAGATTGAAGTTTCCTCCGTAGGACCTGCTGAATCACTCCTCCAACCATTTCAGTCTATATTCTGAAAAATGATTCCCAAGAATAATAAACACACAGCAATAAAAATAATAATAACACAAGAGATTCAAATACAGTAGGAAGACACTCAAATTCTAAAACTATATCACTCAAGACATATCCAATAATCATAGAACAAAGATAGGATA